CGGTTGCCGGGCATCCTACTAGAAATAAATCACAAACAAAAAATTTACTTCATGACGTTACTGGTGAGGTCGCCAAATAGAGACAAAGTACAAAAATTGAGTAAAGGAGGCTTGCCACAGAAGTCATTCTTTCCCACTTCGCATGCAAGCGGAATGCCCTCTTGCCTTCTTGCACGTCCGCTGGCCGCTTGGAAAATGCGGCCATTATATTTTGGTAATCTTTTTTAAAATTTTGTTCTTGTTGGCAATCAGGCGTGAAGCATTGGTAATCAGGCGTGAATTGAAAGAAAGTCGACATTTTTTGTATGACCTCTCAAAACTGCAGCCGTATATTACATTGTTTGAAACACGAAATAAAGAAACATGGAAAATAAAAACTTCGAGAACAAACTCGTTCACAGATAAGTTATCCTACATAGTTCCTACGTTACTTAATAAATATATGAAAGCTGGCATAGATTTTTTAATTTGTACACAGATTCTGTTGCGCGATATACACATGTTTAGTTTTTAAGATTTCTTTGCAGTTGCTGTATTATCATGGTTTCTATTTTTATTTTTGAAATTTGGACTTGATTTTTATATCTTTATTTTTATTTATTCATTTATCTATTTGGTGTTTTTGTTATTGTTGTTGACTTCACGTTGCAGAATGTTTGCCACTGCTGTCCTGCTAAAGGTTAGCTGTGGGCCTTTGTCAAGCTGCTTCTTTTGGAGAGCAGCTCTTACCTGCAGCTGTCCTTCATAAAATTATTGATGAAAAATAAACATTATTATTATTATTATTATCATTAATATTATTAGTATTATTATTATTATTTCTGAAGAGGCAAAAGTTAAACTGACTGATTCCACAGTAAGGCGAAACTCAATTGACATGAATGAAATGCTTTTTTATTGCATGTTTCGCATAAAAACAGTACATACACATAGTGTGAAAGTGTAAATATGTAGATGCAGCTACCATTTACAACTGACACATGAACACAATGAGTAAACGTTGAACCCAATATCTGAACGAATGTAAAATCATCAACAATCGTGGATAGGACACGTATTTGACTCAATCACGTTTGTTATGACGACAGGCCTAGAAATTGAGTACCAAACAAAACTGAAATTCAGAGGCACGAAGACGCTTAAGCTATCAGAGGTTCTCCGAGAAGGAACGTGGCTGGAAACAGTGTTTTGGCAAGTTCACTTGTCCTCAAGAGAGCAAAATTGTTGCCTTGACGAAAAAAAGTTCACTTGTCAAAACGTTGCCTCCATCGACATTCTCTGTAATATTATTTGGAAGCATTTAGTCCATAACGTGCATTCGAGTGATACTATTAAATCTGAAACCACGGCTACAAGAATTTCATAAGTAGGAAGTGACCTTTAATTATTTGACATCATTTGAGCTAGTTGCCAAAAGTAAAAGTAGCTAAAACTATGTAGCCAAGCTAACTCAATTGCAAGCCTTTCAATAAACCGATTTTTTCGACAGGAGCTTGGCTGCCGTCTTCTCCAATTAGTCAAGCGACACTGCACATCTCTCAGTTAAGTCTGGCTTGCGGTGAACTGGGTTTGCTCATATGCACTCATGCAAAATCAATACTTGCTCCAATGATTGATCCAAGTTCTTCTGCTCACATGTTGCTTTTAGGAAACGCTGAAAAACCTTCGTTAAACTAGAAATCTCTGCGTTAGCACACCACAAAGCCGCAAAAACATGTGTTGCCCAAATAAGGCATCTTCGACGAATGCATGGTTTACTTGTTCGGCATAGCTCACTGTGGTTCATTCTTTGCCCGCCACAACTTGCCGTCCTTATCTTATTTGTAAATGACACGGTAACTGACCAAAATAACCGAACGAGATCCAGCTTCTAATATCGCTGAGCTAGAGGCAAGAAGGAGCGGAAGCAAGCGCTACGAATGCAAGACAATCACTCTTTGCGCTTCACCTTATTTAAAAATCACGAATAAAGGAATAAGAAAGAACATATAAACAAAAGAGTAGTTCTTTACGGAGCGTAGACGTTTTTGTATGTAAAAACCTATGATGGCCAATAAATGCGCAACTGTCACATCAACCTCACTCCGTTCAACCAGATCTAAGGATGCCCAGCAACTATGAGCGTGCATGTTCTCTAAACTGAAACTAGCGTCTAGTTTCCGGGGCCTGGTATAATAGCAATGATGTTTCATGCCGACATGCCCACGAGTATTGCACCGCTGATACAGTTTTACCACTGTACAAGTTCATCATCTCAAACACTTCTATCATGAGTATTAATAATACACAGTAAGATAAATAGGGCAGTAAGCTAAAACTATTTGTAAAAATATGATTTTGCCAGGTGACTGGTTTCTACATTTTAATATTTGCACGCACTATTATTAGGCTTTTTCGCATTGTAACAATAAAACCAGATGGGCTTGTTTTGTACAAGTTTTATACCAAATGATTTCATGTTCTGAATTTAGATAACATTGACAAAGATATACAGATGGAAGCAAATGCTTTGCAATTTGTAAATCTATGGCAAATTATGGAAAAAAGTAAGATTCACTTTATTGCAAGAGAAGTATACGCATTTGTTTCCATGCTGTCTAATACGTCTACAACTCTTGCTTTTGTTATATTTAGATGTTGATCAACAGGTGCACCTGTTTTACTGCAGGGAGCAAGTAGACCCTCTGGTAGTTGTAAAGGCGTATTTTGTGATGACTTGAGCACCAAGGCATTGCATGGTTGCAGCCACCACGCAGCCCTAGCAGAGCATGCCAGCGGCCAGGAGAAAGTTGCCGGCTCCAGCTTCACTACCTCAAACAAGGGGCTGGCTTCTCCAGCGGAGCTAGTGCAGTTGCTCGCACACCCCCTTTACAACGACCAGAGTTCCTATGACACTGAAGTTACGGTTGCCAACTACTTGGCCACATATGGAGCAGTTCATGACAGGAGCTCTCAAACATAATGAATTTTCATTCCCTGTCGAAAGGCTCTTCCATTGTTGGAACTCTAGTGCTGTTGTGTTGATAGATACTGCAGATGAATGACCCCACAAAACATGTTAGTGCTGGTGTTTTACTCAGTATTGCACAATGAACAAGTCTCTTGGCTTGGTTGAAAGAAAAAAGTGATAATTTTAAGGCTTCATTTTTCTTTGATATATGGGGTTTAACGTCCCAAAACCACTATATGATTATGAGAGACGCCGTAGTGGAGGGCTCCGGAAATTTAGACCACCTGGGGTTCTTTAACGTGCACCCAAATCTGAGCACACGGGCCTACAACATTTCCGCTTCCACCGGAAATGCAGCCGCCGCAGCCGGGATTTGAACCCGCGCCCTGCGGGTCAGCAGCCGAGTACCTTAGCCACTAGACCACCGCGGCGGGGCCTTCATTTTTTTTTCTTTGCTAGACATGATAATAATGAGAACTAACCTACCATAATTCCATAAAAAAGTATAGGGGACACTAATTATGGTAAATGTAATGCAAATGAGAAGAAATTAAGGTGGACGAAAAAAATGCTTGCCAGTAGCTGGGACTGAACCTGCGACCATCACATAACGCGTACGATGCTCTACCAAATAAGCTAACACTGCGGCCATTTCCTCGTTCTCTTTATCCAGTATATATGTGCATTCCCACGTGGCAGTGTGAGTCAGCCCTACTAGCAACCATGACGGCGAGTGTGAAACACTTTTTTTGCCTGTTGGTGTCGCGTAGCTCGTGGTGGCGCTGATTGACGCACTCGCGTTTAGTGCGCATATGTCCCCCGTAAACTGGACGAGGAAAAGGCCGCCGCAATAGCTCAGTTAGTATAGCATCAGATGGGTAATTCAAAGTTTACTAGTTCAGTCCCAGCTCACGAAAAGCAATCTTTTCATACACATTTATTTTTTTCACATTTACATTACATTCACAACTAATAACGTCCCCTATACTTCCTTTGGCACTATTGTTCGTTAGTTTCATAAAACGGCTTGGTTAGGTTAGTGGTAACTGACAGACAATTGTGCCAAACATAGTATAGGAGATGTTATTATAAATCGATTTTATTGTAACTGTGAAGAAAAGTGGACGAAAAAACAACTTCGGCACGTGGCAGGGACTGAACCCGCGACCTTCGAATAACGCATCCGACACTCTACCAACTGAGCTACCATGACGGCCATCTTCCGTCCACTTTATAGGATATGTATGTGCATTTAAATGTTATAGTGTCAGTAAGCGCTGCCTGTTGCCACTGCAGCGAGTGTGGGACTACTCATTTTGTGCCAATAGGCATCATACAACAGGTGATGTTCTTACGGCTGGCAGCTGACTAATATTCCCTGGCATACTACCCGATGGCATTAGGTCTGCAAGAACGGGACCCTCGCTATGATTGTTAAAAATTATGGTAATAAATTTAAGGGCGTGTTACCTTTGTTAGACAATATAACGAAAAGTGACTGACAATTATGCCAAGGAAAGTATAGGGGATGTTTTTAAAGTAATAGTAATGTAACTGAGAAGGAGGTTTCAGCTGCAATCATAATGTTGCTCGTAGCATGTGTTGTGTTGCTTAGCATGTGTGTGCTTAGCATGTGGGAGCTTTGAACAATGCGACAGAAAGTGTATAATAAAGCCGGGCACACCAAAGAAGGCTTCCTTTGACCCCTATTTCTTCTATACGAGATATTTTAGACTGACATGAATAAAGTAAGACTTTTCAGTGTCTTTGAACTACATGGTCTGCCCTTCTTGCATTTCACCTTGCAACAAATCTAGTGATGAGTGCTAATGCCAGGCAACCTTCGAGAGGAGTTGTCGAGGTCAATCAGTAGAGTGAACACTAGATATCAAATAGCTGTCAACATCCACTCACCTGAAGCCATTACTTCACCTTCAAAGATACTACTACAATTTTTCCTTGCTTATGGTCTCGATTACCTTAATTTCTCCAAATTCTTCATAGCGTTTACTGATTATAAGTGCACTAGAAAAAAATTAGGTAGCCGATATAGGTAGTATTGTTTTATTGAAAGATTCAAGTGTAATGGTGAAAAATAGCTACAGCTCAATCGTGTACCAGTGACTGTTGTATTCTCGATAGAATCACGAGAAAAAGCACTGCTAAAAAGCTTGTAGCTTTTAGCACTGAAGATGCAAGGTGAATACCTGAATTTACGGTTTCTATTATTACAATGTGCTGTAGCAGAAATGCTAACGCATATTCAATTAACCATTGCAGGGACCTTTTAAGTGCATCTCTTCAAAACCAACTAAGAAAACGTAATTGGCGCACTCCATTTTAATAATAACCGCAAACGCGGCACAAGTATACTATCACAAAAGAGTCACTCTATGAGCAAAGTGTAGCGCTATTCAGAAGTCTTATATAAAGTAACTGGTAATGTCTTATAAAAAAGAATCTGGTGTATTAGCACATATATGATGTGTAAATAGTGTCCCATAAATCATTTTACTGTTTCTTTGTGTCCACTGTGAAACTGCTTTGGTAGGTGGCAGCCCGTTGTAGATGCTGCGAAAAATGTAGTTGTACACATGTGTCAGTGTGCCCTTTCTTATTTGGTGAACATCTGAAAATACGTGCTTGTAATAAAAGAAAGTGTTTATGAACCACAGTGTGCTTTCGTGTGAAATAAGTCATACTGCTTTCGACCGGGCTCTGTTCTAGTTAGGCATAACTTTCAGCATAAGTTCTGTACTAATCCTACTGTTGGGCCTAAGCGTATAAACTGCAGGAGAACGCGATCTCCTATGCTCTTCGTTATCTCTTTGAGATTGTGGCAACATCTAAAACACTGCTGTATTATAGAGCATCGTGAATTGCAAATGAGTACTAACATTCTTCGTTGCTGTTGTCATAGAAATCCTCTTGCCTAGCTAATGTCAATAAAGAGGATTTATAAATTCTGCTTATATAGTCGAACTCCGACATAAGATACACTCATATAAGAGACAAAGTTGCATAAGAGAAACCAGTGTGCCTACTTTGAATTAAGGTTGACAAAAAATTTGCATGATTTGTCATCAACTCCTCAGTGCATGTCTCCTATACAAGTGCTCAACGAGGCCCATAGCCAGAATTAGAGATTCCTAGGGCCTTGCCCGATTCTACTTGAACAATTGATAGAGGGGTGTGTTCTACCAAACATGACTAATAAAAATACGGGTTTTTAGAAGCCTGTGGGTCACTCTTGAAAAGTTTCTGGCAACGGGCCTGCATTCAATTGTACAAGCTCTTATGTATATCATTATAATATCTGCAGGTTGCCTCTTAATGCATAAAAGAGTCTCGACAGGCTTTTCACAGGAATGAAACTGCCCATAACATTCGTAGTTTTAAAACACACAGGTGGGAAAAATGAGCATGCACTGCAGAATGGACAATTTGTGTTCTGGCAAAGATACGTGAACTGTCATGAACTACTCCACAGCGAACTATCTTCGGCTGACCTCTCTGCCTTCTAATAAATTCTCACAACCAATCTGGGGGGAAATGTTTCAGGGAACTAAAGGGCTTGACTTTCTTTGTTGCAAACATGAAAGGGAACACACAAAACTAGAGAATTCCTATCTCACGTGGTGATTTCAATATGCGAATTAGTTTGTGACTACATACCCACCACATGTTAAAGATTACTGATTGCTTGTAATGCCTGCAGAAAATCTCGCTGAATGAAGGCAAGTATGTGACGTCAACTTCAGCACCTGGCTTTTCTTCCTCAGCAGCGAAGGATCCGTGGACAGATGTTTAGGCAGCTGGTTTTTTTTTTGCGGGAGAAGATTCATTCATTCGGACAGGTGTTGAGCCACCAAGAAGCCGGAAACCTCTGAGAACAGTGGCACTGAAGCAACATCGGTTGAAGCTGCTACTCCTGCTCATATGATGAAGCACCACACTGTGTCTTCACTGCAGATTCTGTGGTGAAGGCAGCTTCTGTCAGTGTATTGGCCAAAACGAGCACCTTCAGGGTCATGTTCACATGCGTAGCTGAGATGGTTATGAAATACTCAAATAAACAAACTTCTTCGATTAGTGTCATGCCCAATCGTTCATCATCATGCATTATTTCCTGCTAATTTTCTTTGTTTAGGAGAATAGGTGTGAATGCTGTAACTGAACAGCTACTGTACATTTTAAGCCTCATACGTGAATTTTTTAACTTTTAAGTCAACTTACCAACAGACCAGCATTCCAATGTCTTCCGAATTGCCACTGTACTCGTGGTTGCCTTGTGCACAGTTTTTTGTGCGATTGTCTGAATATGAGTTAGTAAAAATAAACTTATCATGTTACACCTGCATTTTTGATAAACTATACCTATACATCACACTGTCTTTGTGGCCTGTGATAATATAGTCACTTTATATAAAGTAGCTTGTGTTTGTTTTAAACAACATCAACACGCTTAGAAAGAATACAATGCTTCTGGTTTTTGCGATAATTTCCCTGGTGCCAAGTTATGTTTCAAAGAACACAAAATATTTTCTTATCTGGGAGGAGTGGCGGAAATCGAGCTGCCTTATCCGGCATCAGCTAGTTGCACAGTGTGTGGCTGCGTAAGAAAGGTGTTACTGAGTTATTTTTCATAATATGCAGCAATGCTATGCAACACATATACATTCCACTCTAACTTTCGTGCAGCGCTAATGTACACAAACAGAGCAGGACAAACATGACCAGCACAAGGTAGCAAGACTGTGCCATACACTTTTCTGGGGCAGTGTGTGATGCTGAAAAAAGCAGCAATTTCTTTTACCACAGGCACAATAAATGACAATGACTTTAGGTGTTGTCTTTGCATTTCCGTTCGCACAATTTAGTGCAATAATTTTATATACATAGCATGTATTTTCATATGTGTGTACTAAAAAGATGCTGCCAAAAAATCTTGTATAATACTCAAAAAAGTGGAGAGATTATTCTATTAGTAAAAAATTATTTCGGCATTTACGTTTTTTTTCCCGATCTCGGATGAAATACGCACATTACATCTGCATGCAGTTCTACTATTTAACAGTTCTTTTTTTGATGAGCTGCCAAGCTCTTGTTAGATGTAAAGCCAACATTTCATTGCACTGCTGGGATTTGGTGATTATGCATTGGACGTAAACAAATGGAGTATTGCAGTTATACAACTAATTTATTAAGTGAGAACGTGGTACAAATATTTCTCGGCTTCTTCGTTGTCCAGCATTATATGCCACAACGTAAACCTACATGCTTACAATTCGGCCCGTAAGCAACCATAAGCTTCTTGATGATGGTAGATTTTAGTGGCGCAAGGGCAACTCAGGCCAAAAAGCACCATAAGCTTCTTGGAGTAATTTCCCCAAGTGCAGTCGATGAATTAAACGATCCATCAATCGGCACGCTTTCTCTTGCAAGGCTGCCTTTACACATACATAAAAGTGCATTCACACTGGCAAATAAATGAACAAATAAAGCATATGCGCTACACTTGAAGCATAAGCTTCAACGCACTTAAGACGCCGGCACTGCGAGACAATTTTGTAGCACGCCGTGCTATTGCTATTCCGCGTGATTACAACACGAGCAATCGGAACTTAGCCTATAAACGCCAAGGAACACGTGTTACACTATTGCGGGGCTTTTTTTTTTTTGAGCTCATGCATGCCGTACACTTGAACCTGCATTTTACAGCTGGCTTTATGACGTATACACTCGTGCAAAAAGGCAGCCTTCTGCACAAGTGTTTTGCACGAAAAATCGCGAACCGGGAAAAGTCTTTCAGCGTGTATATAATTGCGAAGTGGACCACATTGCATTGAAAAGACACAGTCGTTATAGTTATAATTAACAAAGTTACATAGTATTTTCTGAACGTACACGTGCGAACCACGTTTTCAAGCCTGTAGCACGATCCGAATCGACCGTAAACTTACCTTTTCACCAGAAAGACTGCAGTGCCTCGGATTTGAGGGAGTGCCTCTTCACATCGCCGCACTAGCACGAAATCGCGTTCGTAGTCTTCCAGCATAAAGTGGCGACCGCATACGCGTAACTCCCGTCGTTTATCTGATACGGGCAATCCGATGCGCTGCAGCCACTCGGTGCGCCTGCTGTGTTTTTCCAGGCGCACGGTGTCGTATCTTCACTTGTCGCCAATAAACGGACTTGCAGCCCACAACGAGGCAAGGGTGATTCACGCTATCACCAGTGTATGAGTCACAACATCCGCGTGATGCCCACTCGTTGCGCAGCTCTCGTCAACACGGAGCGTGAATGATTCAAGCAGACAACGTTCACCATGTGCCGGAAGTTCCGAAGCTTAGTTGTAAACTGCGATCGTCTCCTTTTTATTTGTGAAAACGTTTAATCGAAATAAATTTTAAAGTGGTTTAGAAATTACGAACAACATTTGTTCTCTGTTTATTTGAAAAGAAATACCTGAGCTGCGTGTTGCGCAGTCAAGCACATCAGCTGAAAACGATGACGTCAACAGGGCAGATCGCGTCGCTTGGTGTGTGGGCGGTTGAAACTGCGTTCGGCCAAGTCACAGCAATCAGCAGCGATCTTGAGCCATTTGCAGCTTTAAAGCTTTGTAATAAATTACACTGTTTACGCAGAGAGCTCAAATCAGTCTCTAAATTACCCTGGGGCTTGGCCTACCGGCCCAATGTGTTAGTGAAAAATCTCCGAAATCGTATCAGCGGCCCTTTGGGGCTGCAAAATAGGCTGCTTTTTCCTTTCTTCACCGAACCACTTTCACCGCCACCTCGCGTAGGGTGAAGAGAGGGGGCCGAGAAACTTGTTTGGGAGAGGGGGTACTGCCCTTGGGTCGACGCTGTGCTTTGTTCCCCGCCGGTAATCGCGTTCACCACCACCCAGTCAGTCTCTCCCGTAACGTCATGCTCGTCAGGCAAGGGCACCGCCAGTTGCTCGGGCAGGACCGGTTTTGATGTACGCTCCCCGGTGGTCTGGGCTGCTCTTTCACCTAAAGATTGTGAGAGATGGGGGGGACTTCTCTTTTGTAAACGACGCCAAAAATACATGCATAAAGATTAGAATAAATACTAGCCATTGCTGCTGCAATATCATTCGGTCGAGTTTTTTTTTTTTTCAGGAAAAATATTTGCAATGAGGTTACGAACACTTGTCAAGGCATACTCAACATGGGACATTGCTTCATTAAACAATGAAAAATCCCCACTTACAAGCCGAGATTGGCGATTGGAAATACACAAGAAATGTAGCCACTATAAATGCTTTGACTTTGCGCTTCTGTCACGGATTACGGGGTGCATGTGTGTGTAGCCCCGCGCGTTGGACTCAGTCTCGGACTCGAAAAGAGGACAAACATTTATAACAAAAAAACAGCACTCTAACCATAAACAAATGTCCAAAACCAGTACACAAAAAAACTGACCACAAACTGGATTTGTGACTAAACCGTCTAATTTAACTCTGACTTGTCCGAATGATTACTTGACTGTCGCCTTATCTCTTATGGTGCTTTGGGCCAGCCTACATGATGCCACTGACTTGGCTAGCTTGTTGCCAGCTCTGGTATCTCTTAGATCGCGACATCCCTTCCACAGCTCGATGCGTTTGTCGGCGCCTGTGGGGGCAGGACGTCGTCGCGAACGCTCATAGGTCTTTTTCGGGCCCCGCTGTGGTGGTCTAGTGGCTAAGGTACTCGGCTGCTGATCCGAAGGTCGCGGGATCGAATCCCGGCTACGGCGGCTGCTTTTAATGGAGGCGGAAATGTTATGGGCTTGTGTGCTCATGTTTGGGTGCACGTTAAAGAACCCCAGGTGGTCTAATTTTCCGGAGCCCTCCACCACGGCGTCTCTCATAATCATATGGTGGTTTTGGGACGTTAAACCCCACATTTAAAATCAATATGTCCTCTTCAGGCTATTGGTACTGGTAACTGCTTCACCCGACGTGGCGTTCCGTTGTTGACGTGGCACCTCGGTGATTGCCTTGGGTGGCTCGCTTCTGAAAGTGGACTTGTGCAGTGAGCGCTCGTCTTCGCTGGGCATGGCAAATGCGTGTCTGAGGGGCCTTCTTTCGATCACCGCAGATTTCACCAGTCGCCTCGGGGCGCCCACGTGTCAAGCGGCTGACCCGAACGCCCATCGTTCCTGTTGCCGGTTCGTACCGACATTTTGTCCTTGCGCCAACAACTTCCCAGAGAGAATGCCAGCTCATGACATGCTCGTCATTCTCTTCCACTCGATCGTCATGCCTCGAGTTCTCCAACATTCCGACCACGCGCTTTCAAACACTGGTCATCTTCGTCGTTAATAAATTTAAGTCTCTCGGCTGTCGCTCATGACAGTTGTCACCAGCAATCACGGTGCCTGAGCGTTCAGTGGGTGGAATAGAATAGTCGTACTGACCATTATGCCGGATATACTTTAAAAATTTTTTGCGTCTTTCACTAAACGTTCCCCAATCTAAGCGAAATGAGTTTCCTATATCGATTTGGTCAAACTCGATATATACCTTCAGCCTTTTTAGTTTTTAGAGGTTTTCTGTGGACCTGCGCAGTTATTACTTACGTAACCCTGCGCACGCTGCGCAGCATAATTCGCAGTAGGTCATTGAACCAAGGCTTATCCTTATCACGTTCGGACAGAAGTATCCGCGCCAAAACGAAGTTATCTAAAAGATAGGAAAGTTTTTTATGGCATTCCCTTAACTGTTCAACACTCAAACTATCCTTTAATCTACCAAATGTAGGGAAGTACAAATATAACGACTGCTTTTTTGAGCAGTAATCAGCTTTACAACACAAGATCACTTTTCTCGGTGGTTTCTTTACAATGGTTGGTTTTTTAACACAAATATCAGCAACGACAATGCTGTGGTTGCTTAAACCAGGTAAAGCATGAAGGTCAGATACAATGCCAGACATATTGGACAGTAGCAAGTAGCGCCCATTAGATAAAAAAGAGGACTACAAAGAACCAGTAATGATATTACTTTGAATTTACCATGACCAGTCACTTTGAGTTATTTTAAAATCACCCCCAACTAAGACACGGTCGTGTCTACAGACACTCCAGAAAGTAGGACAACTCGATGAATTGCTAATATGGGACGAAAAAAGTTCTTAACAGCGCAAACGACAAGAGGGGATAAAAGAGACGAGAACAGAGCGCTGAACTAACAACCAAAGTTTATTGCAATCCAACTACATTATATAGGAAAACAGAATCTGCGCATAACCACGCAACATCAGCAAAACCAGACATAGTTGTATCAAACGGCCTACCTTATCAAGAGCTAGTCATATCAAGTTACCCTTGATTACTTCAACGCTCTGTTCTTGTCTCTGCTATCCCCTCCTGTTTTTTGCGCGGTTAACCCCTTTCTTCGTCTACCATGCAGCACCAACTACCGTAATCAAGCACCTTTTTAGTGCTCCTATGAGACGTGCTAGGTAGATGATAGTAAGAGCCAAATACCATTCTTTTAACATTTCCCGACCGCATTCGACAAAAGACTGCCGCAACACCAAGAAATGTGCACAGCAATAGAACGCAAGGTATAATATTATTTACAAGAATAAAGACATTTCCATAATGAGAGCTTCTATCGCGTCGAAAGCGGTGGTTGGTTTTCGGGAAGATTCCGGAATTTTGAACAGAAAAACCTAACCATGACTAGGTGCCTAGCACAACCGTGGGCTAATGAGTACGCAAACACTTGTCTGTTTTATTCTTTATGCTTCAGCAATTTATTATTGAAAGCTTTAAAGACAGTACTGTTG